CTCTCTCCCTCTTTCTCTTCTTCCCCTCCCTTCTTTCCTCAAGGCCCCTGACCCGTAACTTTCTCCTCGCCCTTCCCCTTCATGACATATGACTAACCTCTACCCTGGCCTGTTACTTTGTCAGGGAATGAACGGTAAAGGAATCGAAAACTCACTTGGTGGAAAACGAGGGCAAGAGGAGGGTTGTCGGTCCCTTGTGCCACCAATAAGGGAAAAGTACAAGGTTGTTGTGAGCTTCTGAGGAAGCAAAGGAGTGTTGTTTCTGTGACAAGGTCTGTTTGAGTCTACCATCTTCCCCGACTGCATGACTAAGGTGATTGCGTGGCTTGCCTGCGGGAAGGGAAAGGAAAGTGTAATGGGATCGAAAGGCAAAGGAAAACTTAGGCTTGTGGGAAGGGGTGATGCGTTGACCCCGATTGGGGATGTACTTGGACGGTTCTTTGTGTGGCCTTGTGCAGGTGAGTATTCGGGATGACTTTGAGCGGGACAAGGTCCGCGAGGGACGCGAGCATGGATGAAAAATTGGAAAAGGGAAGGACTTGGACCTGGCCTAGTTGTGAATGAGGGAAGTGATTGAGGGGTGTGATGCTTGGATGATTGGCAGACGTTGGGGCATGGCTTGTGAGATGACTAAATGGAATGACTCTCTTGTGTGCAATGCAAAGCCCGGAAGGACTAAGGGCAGTCATGGATAGGCGAGCACGACGCTAGTAGCCCAAGCAAAATTTTTTTTTTAAATTATAGCGACTAGGGGCCCGGCGGCACCGCCCCACCCCGAGGATGCCGTAGGGGCGGCCTTGAGCCACTAGACTTAGTAAAAAGGTGTGTGGTCCAATGAATGACGCTTGGCCTACATATGAAATGAAGATAAACCCTCAATGAATTCCCTGGACTGCCTGCGTATTGGAAGGAGCAATTGCCTGGTCAGATGCAAAGAAACGAGCAAATGCCACGAGTGCTTAAAGAGCTACCATCTAGACGGGAGAGCGGAGCTACATCCCCCAATGTAAAGCCCTTTCGCAAAAAGGCTCATCCCCATCCATTTCAAAGCACTAGGTGGGGATGCCCCTGGGACGAACGACCCGCGCCCTGAGCATGAGCGTGGGCGGGTCGAGCCGAATGGGACCCGCAGCACGACCGACTAAGGCTCGAAAGTCCTTCAGGGTACGACCCCTACACCGGCGCAAGCGCTCATTGCCACACTGAAGCCCGAAATCCCGGACGCGATGAAGAGAATGGTTGAGACCGGATATTTTCCAAACTTTTTTTGCATGATTGGATTTAGTGACATTGCTAACCTTGCATGTGTCTGGAATCAGGGGAAAGATGCCTTTCTTGCCAAGCTCTTAGATAGTGCTGCGAGTTTAGAGAGGAAGAAAACGGATTATGAGAAGGAATGCGTAGAACTGTCTGCGAGAATTGCGAAGGTTGAGCAAACATTCCTTAAGATTTAGTGACTGGATCACTCGCATCTGCAGACGCAGGCCGCCGAAACACCTGCGGTCGGCTGCACCATCGTTGGGGCTCTTTCCCTTGACAATGAGGAGATGGCGGAACTAAACCCAGCCATAGCCGCAGTAACCGCAATTGCCAACTGCACCCCAGAGAAAGCCTCATCATCCCAAGGTAGGCAGTACACTGCGTTCGCTCCACTTCCGTCCTTACACTGGGTTAAGCACACTCGCACTGGGTTCATGCATACGCTTTGGAAACTCGACATGTTTAATCACCTTGCTCCGTTCTCGGTAAAGGCCCTCATTTTCCTCGCCAACCTGACCGACGAGGAAGTTGTCACGTGTAAGGCAAACGCAATGACAGGCGCACACCCATATTGCCCCCCAGGAAAAAAACCTTTAATCCGACCCTCCTAACGTTTCCTCTACTGTCGACCCTCGACCACACGAAGTCTGAGTACACCAGCCTTGTAATGTGGCAGAAGAAGGTTAAAACTGCCCCTGAAATSYACCTGAAGGGACTCAGGAAAAGCTGAAATGTCGGACGGCCATACCTCAGATGCAGATGCGCTATAGAGAGAAAGACGGACTGTGGGGCAGGACCGATCTGGATGAACCACGCAATTTGGTATCTGTTCGCTCATCCGGACATCCTATTCCCCAACATCGCYTCCGTAAAGGTAAGAACCTCTACTTTCATCCACTTTCTGCGGGTATCGTGGAAACCTGCAGTAGAGGCTTGTCTTACCTTCATGTTCATTCGGGAGATCATGTCCGATGTGATCTCCGCGCTTGAAAAATATCCCTCCCTCACCTCTGAATCCGTTATTTGCAGGGAAAAATAAAAATACAATACCCCTCTAACCATTGGCAGGGTATTGCTCCCCACAAGGATCACTGGCAATCTGAGGATCAGAGCCAGGGGCACCCGGAACGAACAAGGGAACGCCCAATAAAGGCAGCGTAACAACCCACCTATAGTCGTCTCTCCCAGACAACTGGTACTTCCCTACGAGCCAGGGACAGAGCGAACGTGGCGCAACAGATGATCCCCCACAGGGATCCCCCGCACCATGAGGGTGCTGGAGATAGACTAGGATCACAAGATCGAATGGGAGGCAATCATCCGCCAGAGGAGCAATTCGGTGGTAGGTGGTTGCACAACATGGCGGTGGAAGGGCAAAGAGCTAGAGGAAGGGGTAGCTCTCGACTGCTCTCCTCACAAGTAGGGTCTGCGATCTCCACGGCGGAATCCACAAGAAATGACGGATTGCGGAAGAACGGGTCTTCCAGCGGAAGTAAGAAGGGAAGGAGAGGTTGTATCGGCACTCCGTGACGTGCACGCATGACAATAGTAGCAGAAAGATCTGTGCCGTGCACCCGAGTGATTGTCTCGCCAACGGATCACTCACTCCCTCACTACTCACGAGAAGCGCTGTTTTTTCTCCTGACTTTTTTCCTTTTTTTTTTTTCTTCCTTTTTTTCCTTTTTTTCCTTTTTTTTTCTGTTCTTTCTGGGTAATTCTTTCTACTCTGACTCACTTACACAGTATATATATAAATATATATATATATAATGCATGTCAGAGGTTGATCCTCCACCCCTTCCCCCCTCACCATATATGCTAGGAACGGTCCCCTCTAACAAGGAACCCCCCGTCAATGAGCTTTTGTGCACTACGCAGGATGAGAGCTTCGACCCAGAAGGAGGAGCCAGCATGATCATTCTTCCTTCAGGAAGGGCCGCTTGGAGAAGGAGGGATGGAGAGCAGGACCAATTCGTGCACGGAAGATACACGAGCAGGCTTATGGAAGCGGTTCCTCTGAGAAGCATGGTCCTAGAGGCGCTCAGGCAGGTGATGGGAGAGAGATTGGTGAATTGGATGGAGGATGTGATCATCGGGTGGCGATATGATGAAGCCTTGGGTGCCAAGGTCTGTAAGCCGGCGAGGGTGTTCATGAAATTCAGGATGGCTGAGTGGGAGGCAGGGTATGTACCAGAGTTCTKCCAGTGCGGTACAGGGAGGCATGYCRAGTTCCTCAACACTGCCACCATCAAGATGCTCCCGGAGGAAGGTACCCTACACGTCATCACTAATGACATCGGCGTAACGAACAACGGCCAGGCTGGCCAGCTGCAGCTCATGCTCAATGCGGGTCTGAATCCCATCCCACTCAGAGCACTCGACGAAGATTTTACAATGGATGAGGTCGAAGTAGCTCTTGAAAAGATACTTACCACGCGAAGATGCGACGAGGAACTGTCCTTAGGGGAGGAGAGGCAAGTGAAGACGATCGTGCGAGAGAACATGAAAAAGTGCATCAGGAGCTTTCAGACGAAACACATGCATATCACGGGCGAACCCATTAACAGCGTGGCAGTAAGGAGCGAGATCGAATGGCTGACCAGTCGATACCTAGTCTGTCCAACGGACAAGGCGCCACACACCCCCATTTTCATCTGCATCAACTTCATCAGGAGGTTGGCACTGCAGAGGCTCTCAAGATCGGACTTCACACCGCTTCCAGACTCGCTGGAGCAGGAAGCGGCAAGGTTAGTGAGGGAGGCTGCTGCCTTCACTCATATTGGACACGAGGTGCTGCCGCTCCTGCACCTCATGACAGTGTACAAGGTGCACAAGCAATCATTCCGGTGGATCACGAACTCTGCAGAATCAGTGCTCTCCCCAGTGGCGGACGTTTGCGAAAGATTACCGAAGCTCCTAGCTGAGGATGTGCGGGCCCTCTGCACAACAAGGAGCGAAGAGGTTCATGTTGAGCATGGGGTCAGACCCAACTTCTAGTGGCCGATCTCCGCGATTGGGGAGTTCATTGCCAATATCCCGCAGCGCATTTACTCTGTCTTCACGAGGGATATCACTAGGTGTTTCGAGACGATACCCACGGACGGATCGAAAGACGGCTTGCCAGAAGCGATCAGATTCTTCGTTCGCTGCGCCATGGAGTGGAGGAGGGCAAGGACAACCAGGGACGTGATTGCAATTAGAGTCGCAACCAACGACACACTGCACCCCTACTGGGTGAATGGGGATCAGGACAGGGACAGGGATAGATTGTACATCGACGAGAAGGAGATCATCGACATTTGTGAATGACTCATCTCCAACGGGGTGGTACAAATGGGGAACAGGGTCTGCAGACAGATCCTCGGAATTCCCATGGGTCTGGCTTGTTCTCCTATCTTTTGTGATGTGTACTTCTTTAAGTATGAGTACAGACTAATCTCCCACTTGGTCGAAATGCAGGATTGGATGGCGGTTGAATRTTTCCAGGACACCTATAGATATATAGAYGATCTGTGTTCTCTAAACAAYACGATCATTACTGAGTTCCTCAAGAACGGTGTGCGCGGCTAGAACCCARGTCACAAGATCTACCYGCACAATTTCATTGAGGTAAAGGAAACAACCGAGGTCATAATCGATGGACATGGGAGGGCTGCAAATTTTCTCAACCTCTCATTAACAGTCATGTCCTAAAAACATGGCATGTACTTTACCTCAAAACAATGATAACAAGAGGGGACTCTCATTCTCCCTCGTGAAATTCATGAAGTTTAGATCGAATCGTTCTATCTCGCAGTCTCTCCAGATCCTTACGGCTCAGACTGTCCTGACTCTCATCATCTATTCCGATGAGCAGGAAGCTGCCCTAGAAATCAATAACTTAGTCCAAACCATGGTCTCAAACGGATTTGGCAACAGGAAATGCTGGAAGGTGGTGGACAGGGTTTTTCACAACAGGCAGAGGTACCAGCCCAACAGGGTGATCAACGAAATGGTAAAAGCCAACCTAATCACCAGAGTTGAAATGTACTAATTTGTGTTCTGTGGTGTCTGTGAGTGTGTGTGGGAACCGGGGGGCTACGGGCCGGAAGGGCCCGATGCCTCCCGGCATCCAACCTTCCGGCCTGCGTCTCGTTTTCCGGTGGAATAGGGGCGGGGCACACACACACACACACACACACACACACACACACACACACACACACACACACACACACACACACACA